TCCCACGACACGTGGTCCGTGGCCATTTTCCGCCCCTGACATGTGGTCCGTGGCCATTTTCCCGCCCCTGACACGTGGTCCGCGGCCTTTTTCCCGCCTCTGACACGTGGTCCGTGGCCATTTTCCGCCCCTGACATGTGGTCCGTGGCCATTTCCCCGCCCCTGACACGTGGTCCGCGGCCTTTTTCCCGCCTCTGACACGTGGTCCGTGGCCATTTTCCGCCCCTGACATGTGGTCCGTGGCCATTTCCCCGCCCCTGACACGTGGTCCGCGGCCTTTTTCCCGCCTCTGACACGTGGTCCGTGGCCATTTTCCGCCCCTGACATGTGGTCCGTGGCCATTTCCCCGCCCCTGACACGTGGTCCGCGGCCTTTTTCCCGCCTCTGACACGTGGTCCGTGGCCATTTTCCCTTATGGGGAAATTTCCTTCGGGTTGCGACCAATTCGGGTTGCAGCCAGAGTCACGGAACGAATTAAGTTCATAAACCGAGGTTCCACTGTATCTGATCCTGCAGGATAGGACTAAGCAATAGTGGCACTATCAACAGATCACATGGCAGCAGTTAAAAAGAAGTATCTCATATTGTTTCCCATATGTTCAAAAACTTCTTGACTGGAAAAATAATTATGCCCAGTACAGTAAAAATGAACGCTACTTATTTATTTTAGAGTTTTGTATACAGCCCCAATCCAGAGACTCTCTAAAGCATACAACAGAATAGAAAAATCAAATAACTTACAAAAAAAATCCTCCGTCCCCTCCAATGGATGCAATAAATGATTAAACTAAGCTGGTTGATCACCTTATGGAAGGCTGGGGGAGGGAGTGGGCGGGGAGTTCCAAAGAAGGCATTGGTATTTGTTACTTTATCAGAACTAAGACTGGGTCCAATATTTATCACATTTTCCCCATTTATAGACCACCTTTCTATCAAGGAATGATAAACTAAAATTATAGCCTCTAAACCCATCAAAACTCATTGAATAGAAATACAGCAGTAATAAGAACTGTATCAACCAGATCAAAAGCTAAGTCAAATTACAAAAGCAGTAAGATGAGTTGGTCATTTGTGCTGTAAAAGATACCCAGTCTTAGTGATGGGAGCTCCTGGACTTAAAGAGATCTGAGTTATGATCTACTTTGTGATGAACATTTGTAAGTTAAGCTTAGACTTCTAGATCTATTTGGATTTCACTAAATATGCACTCATAGCTACATTTTATCTAGCCAAAGGTAATTTTTATATTTTATTCCATACCTCTTTTTATTCTTTATTCATCTTTTCTACTAACTTGCACCTTTAAAATATACTTATGTTTTTATGATCCCTCTTTCTTGCAACTTACTGGCAGTCATCTAATTACCTTGGTCAGAAATGAAATCTAGTGTCTTTTTTGGGTCAATATATTCTATTCATCAAGAAGAGAAATAACTTTTCTTGTTTATGTCCATAGTTAATTATATTCAGTATCCTTTTTAAACTGATCACAAACATTAGCCCATCATGATACTGTATAATAGAGGGATGGGGTGCAATTCAGCTGCACCTTTATCAGTTCATGATTTATAGACATGCCCTAAAGGGAATGTATTTTAGATAGGTTATTGTTGTGTCCATAAGCACTCCTTTGAAGCTCAGCCAAAGTTTGCCTTTTGAGTATGGGGACCTTGATTGGGGGATTCTTCCCAGTGCATACCTTATGTCTTCTGTTTACTAAGTTCAGCCAGCTGCAGGACTGAGCAAACAGGTTCCATTTTAAGCCTGCAAGCTTCCAACTTAAATTCTTCTGTCCAATTATTTATTAAAAAGGTGTTAGCAGCAAAGATATATTTTCAGGATTAAAACTTATGAATAATATACCCAAGGAGCAAATATAGACTCTGATATCGTACTAATAATAACATCTGCACTTAAAAAAAGGGTTAAAGAAAAAACCATGAAATATTTCATTGACTATGTCATGCATTTTCCATAATGAATACCTAACAGGCTCCAGTTCAAACCCCCTGATGAAAGATGAATCTGCTCTGATAGGTTTCATCAGTTCTTCTATGGTGGCCAAATCTAGGTAGAAGGAAAATAAGAAATTTGTTATTTATTTCAGTAGCAAAAATATTTTTGAATAAAGCTTATCTTTTTTTTTTTTTTGGTAAAAAATCTCTAAAAGACGCATAAATAATGTCTAGTTATATTGGGACTGATTTGTTTTGTCCATCTCATAACATTATGCAGTAATGAACGCAGTGCATTAATTGTTGAATTTAAACTCTTTTGAACAGCTATGGTTTTACATTTTATTGTACATTTCTGGAAGACATTGGCTATCAACACTATAGTAGGGATAATAAAACAAACAATAAGCATGAATTTCAGCTTTTCTTCTTTGAGATAATTTGTGACCTCCCAATTACAACAACGAAGCTACTGAAACTTTATTTTTACTACACCCACGGTTTACTTCAATCTTTAATGCATTTCCTGCAGCTGCCTTCCTATTCTTTACAGGTAGTCCTTGACTTACAACCATTCGTTTAACAACCATTCGAAGTTATGTCGGCACTGAAAAAAGTGACTTACAACTGGTCCTCACACTTACAACTGTTGCAGTGTCTCTGTAGTCACGTGATCAAAATTTGGGTGCTTGGCAAACAACATTAGATTAGATTTTTATCCCGCCTTTATTATTTTTATAAATGATTCAAGGCGGTGAACGTACCTAATACTCTTTCCTCCTCCTATTTTCCCCACAACAACAACCCTGTGAGGTGGGTTGGGCTGAGAGAGAGTGACTGACCCAAAGTCACCCAGCTGGCTTTTATGCCTAAAATGGGACTAGAACTCACAGTCTCCTGCTTTCTAGCCTAGTGCCTTAATCACTAGTTACACCATCCCAGGGTCACATGATTGCCATTTATGACCTTCCCAGGGGGCTTCTAACAAGCAAAGTCAATGGGGAAGCCAGATTTGCTAAATGACCATGGTGATTTGCTTAATGACTGTGGCAAAAAAAGGTTGTAAAATTGGGCACAAATCACTTAATGACTACATCGCTTAGCAACAGAAGTTACAGTTCCAATTGTGGTTGTAAGTCAAGGACTACCTGTACTAGTTTGCACTGGAAATCCGGAATATTAGGCAGGAAACAGTGAGACCAAATTTTAGCCACAGAGAACATTGGATGATTTAGGGCAATTGTTATTTCGGTGCCCAACCTTCCTCACAGTTGTGAGAATAAAATCAGAGATTTCATGAGTGTTATCTTGTGCTCCTGGAGGAAAGGAAGGATATAAACATAATAAGTAATAACAAATTTGAGATACAGCTAGTCCCCAGGTTAAGAACACCCGGGCTACAGATGATCCGTAGTTAAGAATGGAGCCTATTGTAGCAAAGTTTGAGTTAAATACACAGTGATTCGAGTTAAATACACAATGGTTCCAGTTCATTGCACAATACTACTTATACAGCATTACACAATAATATTGTTCCAGCTTACATACAAATTTGACTTAAAGACAGACCTTGGGAACGGAACTCATTCTAAACTGGGGACTACCTGTAATTCTATGAAGTATGACTTTTTAGTGATTATATAGTTGGTTACTAAAGAATGTTACAGCATGGTATTAGACTGAAGTTATTTATTTAATATATTTAATTAACTAATTCATAATACCTTTTATTCAGGGTCTTATATGGTGGTATATAAACAGCTCCTATTTTTCCCTACAGGAACAACCCTGCGTGGCAGGTTAAGCTGACACAGTGAATGACCACAAATCACAGAGTGAGCTGCTGTACACTAGAATCCAGGTCTCAACACCTTAACCAGTATAGCACATTGGCTCTATTTTGTTAAAAAATCCACTTAAGAGATCAATCAAATATATAAGGTACCAAATTTATTGAAATGCTATGCCAATATCAGATCACACTGAAAAACTGGGTAGTCACCACTGCCACTGACAGACCATATATCCTATGGCTGACTAAGTAAATGAAGAATTACTCATTTTCTTGGAAATCAAATAAATAAATAAAATCCTGAAAGCTGGTGAAAGAACTCAGTCATCAGATAGGAAAGTAAATCAGGATAAGCAATCAAGATATAAAGTGTAGTTTTCAATATACAGTGGTACCTTGGGTCACAAACGCTTCTGTTCACGACCAATTCGGGTCATGAACAGCACCGTTCGCAAAATTTTGCTTCCGTCCGAAAACCCCGCATCGGGTGACGAACAGGATCCGCGGCCATTTCCCCTGCTGTGACACGTGGTCGTGGCTTCCTGTAGGGAGGGGGACTCTCCCTCCAAGCAATAACCGCCTCCCCATTTGCCTTCCTGTGCTCCACGCCAGAAGTCGCGTCGAGCAAGGTTAGCGTTCTCTCTCGTCGTACTGCACTGTACTGTATTTTGTTTCATATTTTTGTGGTTTAAAAAAAAAAATCCATATGGTCCACAACGGATTAACCGTATTTACATTGAACCTTATGGGAAAATTTGATTCGGGACGCGACCAAAATCGGTTGGCGACCAAATTCGGAGGGGTCAGAACGGATTAACCGTATTTACATTGAACCTTATGGGAAAATTTGATTCGGGACGCGACCAAAAGGGGTTGGTGACCAAATTCGGAGGGGTCAGAACGGATTAACCGTATTTACATTGAACCTTATGGGAAAATTTGATTCGGGACGCGACCAAAATCGGTTGGCGACCAAATTCGGAGGGGTCAGAACGGATTAACCGTATTTACATTGAACCT